GTCTAAAATTTTAGGAGCTTAAAGAATTTTTTTTATGAAAATGTGAAAAAGCTAAAATGAAGCTGTTTTGACGGAGCAGAACCAGAACCAGAATCAGATCCTAAGACCACAGCCTGATGTGATCATGAAGTCCCAGCACTGAAACGGGCCCAGGACGACCCGGGTTCTGACCTGCCTGTGTAGACTTCCTGCGAGCCTTCTTGATCTCCTCTTCACTCTTGTTGCTGAGTTTGGTCTCCAGCTCTTTCTGTCTGTCAGTCAGAGCTTTACGGGCCTGCAGGAGACAGGAAACTGAATGAAGTCAGGAACAAAGAAAAAGCACATTGTAGTGAATATTTTGAGGCATAAAGCGTCACACGTTTCTTTAAATGCTGACCTGCTGTCTTGTGGAAACAAGACATGAAATGAATTTCACTAAATGGAAACTGAACTTAATGAAAAAAAAAAGCTAAAAACCTGTATATTTTTACAGCTGGTTAGGGATGTTTTAACTGAACCATATTGTTACACATCATTTCACATGTACGACGTTCAAATTTCGTGAAGCTAGCACTTTCCTTTCTCAAGTTATGACTAAAATTAATCTAAAAAAAACAACGTTACTTCCTGCCCGACTTGACCAAACTACTCCCCGCTGCCCCCAGCCTCAAACCCCACCGTCAATCTGACCAATCACGTCTCTTGGGCCATCTCCGCCTACATCAAGACCTCCACCAATCATGAGCAGGGACGTRTCCGCCCWCTTTAAGACCTCGGCCAATGATGATTCGGGATGTCTCCGCCCACAGGACAACACGTTCTGCAGAGACCCCTGCTTGGTGTTTACACCCACCAGGCTTTATTCAGAGTAGAAACACTGACATGCACAGTTGTTAACTTTCCCTAAAAACAAAACAGAAAAAAGTTCTACTTTCATCATGAACATAAATAAAGATCTTCTGAGCTCAGAATGGACCTGCTACAGGTTTTAATAATGGTGGAGACGTTACTGCATGCTCTGGTTCAGCTGCAGGTGACGTGCTTTTTTTTTTTTTTTTTTTTTTTTTGCGAAGCGGCGCAGTCTGTGTGTCGTCCTTCTTTATGAGAGAACGGCAGGAAAAGTTCTGTGCTGCTGCTCCTCCCTCCACAAAAGAGCAGAAACCGCTGGATGAAAGTCAGCAGACATGAGCAGTCAGGTCAGTTTTCCACAGTCAGAATAAGATGATCAGATTAAGTGTTTACATGCTGTTCAGATTATCAATCGGCATAAACCAACTCTCTTAATCTGATTACAAATTCATTTGTATCGAGCTGAATCAGATCAGAATCATCTGAATGGGTGTTTACATGATGCATTTTTATTCTGAATGGCCGTTTAATCCGATTACTTATATCCACGTAAAAATAACTAATGAATGAAGTGAAACTGAATTTAATACAACAAAATACAGTTTCAAAGCAAATTAATTTTGATTCAAACCATTAAGTTCAGYTTCAATTTAGTAAAATTCATTTTCAAACCAATGCATTTGACTAACTACAGATTTAGTCTGAGCTATTCAAATTCAGTTTCTGTTGGCACAMGTTTCTTCCCATATTAATTACTGCATTAGCATATTCAACTGATTAACTGTGGAGTCAATCCAATTCAAAATGATCAATCTTAGACCACCCAAAAATGGTTTAAACTCAGTGGATTTTACAGCTAAAACTTGGTCAGATAGTAGAATATTTTACTACTATCTGAATTAATGGATCCTGTTGCAATTTCAAATCAAACTGTGCATAATGTTGAACATATAATGATAATATGATGATATGATAATGATAATAATATACATAATGTTGACATCCTTATAGTTCTGTCTGCACCAGGTGGTGTACCTCCTCCAGTCATCCCCTCAGTCTGAATCAAAGTCTGCTAACGTCACCAAAGATGTAAAATAATGGTAGGTCTGCCTGAGTGGACCTGTCCTGAGGAACGTGTTGTTTTAAACCACCTCTGCTCAGATGGTGTCCAACACAGGAGCTGCAGGTTTTAGAGAGTGGGCGGGGCTTGTCTTACCTTCTCCACGGCAGCATATCGACCAACGAGTTGCTTCCTGAGGTCAGCAATGTGATGGTCGAACCTCTTCATGTCCTTCTTAAAGTTCTCCCGGAATATCAGCAAAGGTCTCTCCACTTCACTCTGGAGCTGCTCAGAGAACAGAAAGAAGATCTGAACATCATGATCATTTAACCTTTTCTGATTGATTATTTTAAAAAAAGAAAAAGGAAAGAGACGTTAACATTTCTGCAACATGATTTTCCTTTTTTAAAGGTATTTATTCAAGTTCTGTTTTCACAATACTATTGAATTTGAATATTAATCTAAAATGTCATTTTTAACCAAAGAGTTAAAATATTAACCAACTGTTTTTATGGGATAAATCCTGTGCCAACAGGAATTTAATCTGAATTGATCAGATTGAATCTGAATGTGCAGAATTTGAAACTGAATGCATTGGTTTGAAACTGAATTTAATGATTTGAATTTGAATTAATTTACTTTGAAACTGTATTTTGGTTTATTAAAAATTC